AAAAAAAACAAAAAAAAAAAAAAAAAAAAAAAAAAAAAAAAAAGAGATGAAATTACTGAGATAAATTTTGTGTTTTTTATGGTTTTTGATGCCCATTGCCAAGTTTTTACTCCAGATGGTTTGCTGTGGGGCCACTTTTGAGGTCAGTTCCTCACTTACATAATGGGAAATCACTGACTGCTATGTTACATGAAGACTCACATTCAGCTATCTGCTCAGTAAGCACCCTCAAACAGTGGCTCATTCAAGAGACTTAGAAAAGATACAGCACAACGTCCGTCTCCTGCATCATATCTTAGCTGCTATTGTTGCTAAAAGGAGCACTCTTGAGTGCTTGCTTCCAGGAATGTCTATCCAGAATCTAGCCACAGGGACTGTATGATGTTTCTGGGAACTGGCACATTTCACATGCTGTCCCTTCTAGGGCCCACCAAGGCATAACTGTGTCCCATAGTCAAGGGAACAAAGGGCAATGTGGAAATGCTGGGCCCAAGATAATTTTTATAGAATTCAATATGAAAATGTTCTGATACCACAATGATGATATTTTATTTGCTACTCCTGATGATAATACCTGATGGAGTTTGGATGTGTTGTCCCCTCCAAAAGTCATGTGGAAATTTGATCCCCAATGCGGCAGTGTTGGAAACTGATTGAGTCATAGGGATGATAATCCTTATGAATGGATTAATGCTCTACCTGGGGGAGGGGGAGTAATGAGTGAGTTCTTGCTCTATTAGTTCCCACGAGAGCTTGTTGTTTAAAAGACCCTGGCAGCTCCTCTCTCTCTCTTGCTTCCTCTCACCATGTGATCTGCTTGTACCCGCTGGCTGCCTGTCACTTTCCACCATGAGTAGAAGCAGCCTGAGGCCCGTGACAGATGCAGCTGTCCCAGAATTGTAAGCCAAATAAATCTCTTTCCTCTATAAATTACCCAGTCCCAGGTATTTCTGTTATAGCAATACAAAACGGACTAAAACAATACCCTTAATGATGAGAATCTTAACCACCATTATCCTTAGGAAAGAAAAAAATGTTTTGATATTAGACCAAAAAACCCCAAATATATATATAGATATACACACACACACACACATACACACACATGTATATGCACTGACCTATGTGTTCAGGTAATAAAGAAATTAAAACAGGGCTAAAAAAATTAATCAGGTAGGCATATTGGAGTCATCCAGTGAGCAAAAAACAAATGCCTTTTCTTATTCCCCTTTTCTTAGGTTTTCATGGAATGAAATATGTAGAGAACTCTGAATAATATACATCACATGTCCATATTATATCTTAGCCTTCTCATAGGGGAAGGACAGAAAGAATCACTTGAAGGGGTGGCATTTTTTTTCATGTAAGACTAGTGCAAGATATTTTTTTGGCTACCTAGAGATTTTTTTTATATGATAGCAACAACCCATTATAATGCTAGCATTAGGAGACAAAGCCACTTTGTTTTCAAAAAAATCTGATTTAATGATCAGATTTAATGAATATCTTGATTTAATGAACATCTCCAGATCATCTAGGATCTGTGTATGAATGGTAAAAACAGGGCTATTTACCTCCGAATAAGGCAGAGTGAAACCACTTGCTATGATCAATGTGTAGAATTTTGAAACTGGTGGATTTTATATTTAATTGGCTTCTCAAATCCTTTTAAGAACATAGAAAAAGAGGGGGCTATAAATTAAAATAATTTCATTATGGATTGTCTAGTCTCCAATGCTATTTTATAAATAGGAAACAAAGTCACAAAGAAGTTAAGTGAACTTCTGAAGGTCATTTAGCTAACAAATGGAAAGTGTGATGTCTGACCATCAACCTTGACTCAATTTAGTGTTCATCCTTTTATATTCTTTCCCTCTTGACTTTTCCAAACAACTCCAAAAGAATTTACAATCTTTACATACAATTGTTCTTCCCCGAGGCAAAGTTGTAAATGGGGTACAATAACTACTAAATGAATGTGTCATTTTTTTTCCTCTCCACTTACAATGTGTCTCTCATATGGCGAAAATATCCTTATCTTTTCAAAAGCCTGGTGTGTATTAAATGTGTGTCTCAAGACTGCATCTATCAGAGCAATCACTCTTCATGTGAATTATTGAAAAGCTAATGTTAGAATCAATTGGCAGGTGGGAAAACAACAAAGAGGCAGATGGAATGGGATATTGCCTCATGTTTTCAATAAGGAAGATTAGGGGCAGTGATAAAAAAGAAGCTTTTAGAAGAGGAATCAAAAGACAATCTGATCTAAGAAGCAGCATAGTGAGGATATGAATTTTTGTTGCTGTTGTTTATTGTTGGAGCCAACCTGAGCACCTAAAACCAGGTCTGGCACATAGTGAATGATTGGTCAATGTTGAATAAAAGTAAATGAGTATAGCATTCAGGTGATCTGGTATGCATCTCTGGCTTTCTCACTAGCCTTGGTCAACCCACCTTTCTGAGCCTCAGTTTCATTATCTAGTACATGAAGGGCTTGGACTAAATTATTTCTGTGTTAGATACAGATACTTCTGCCAAACTCTACCTTAGTGGGAGAACTGCCCCCCTCCAACTCCATTATCTACATAGTTAAAATGGGACTGTACTACTAACCACCAAATTGGTAAAATATGACCCTGCTCAAGGATAATGTTGATTGGTCCAGGCACAGACACTCCAAGCTGGACCAATATGAATCTTTTTCAAGGAATTTCAGAACTGGAGCTATAACGGTAACATCAACCTCTTTCTGGTGGCTGATACTGAGGATATACAAACCTGTAACTTGTTGGTGGCCAATTTCCCCAGTTTGATTTGAATGGTAGAAATAACCAACAGACAGTGAGAGAGAAGAAGGAAGCAGAGAGAGAAGCAGAACAGAAAAACCAAAACAACTTTTAAGTCCATGATCCTGGTTGAACCTGAGGCCCAATGCATCCCTGTTCTTTATGGAATGAGATATCTGAGAATCCTTAAATACCCATTTTTAAAAATTAAATTAGTCACCTAGCTAATAAATTATCTATTAATTGAGATGAAAATAGTTCTAACAAATATATTCTAATATCTCTTTTATTTCTAACAGTTGAAGATTGTTAAGAATTGTGAAGTCTGCAGTGGTGGCCAGATAGAAACATTATACTTTGACAGGAAGCAATTTAACTGGAACAGACTTGAAAACAGAAGATGTTCTGCTGAAGGGAGATTTCCTAGAGAGGGGAACCAAAGACATATTTTCACTCAGGATATCAAGCATCAAGGAATTAAATTAAGTACCATCTTACCTAAATGTGCAGGCAAGTCACAGTGAAATCAGACAAAATGAATATTATTCCCACAATCCTAGGAAAGCTAAGTGTTGGACAGATGCCCCTATCATTATTTAAAATTATGATATTTTGCATATCATGGATTTTTTGCATTAATTTGAATTTTTAAAAAACATTGCATTAAAATATTTACCTTGAGTA